AGTCATTGTCCGGACGTAAATTGCCACTCTCAAATGGATGCCTGAAAGTAGTCCACACGTTCAGACCGACATGACAGACAGCGGAATCTGACTTCGAGATGTCACTATGGCCCACCCTCCCTCACATAAATTCATCCCCATCCCCACTTTGGACTAAACCCGAGCCAATCCACCTCACTCCACTCCACCCCCTAGCTTTTCACCGACGAACTCATGCCATCTCCGACATGGCAGACAGCGGAATCTGACTTCAAGATATCTGGATTCATCAACTGTGACCTTGTCCTTTGCGGTCTTGAGGAGGAGATGACGGTTTGCGCCGCTCTTTGCCTTTATCTCTACTTTTACAAAAAGAAAAAAATGGTTGAATAAAAAGGTTTTGCACTCACTGGAATTATTCTAAAAGCAAAAGTGATGGGGTAAATCAACCACATGGTGTTTTAAACAATAGATCAGTGGTCCGTGCTTTGGGCATTGCTTATATGGAATCGGTATTCCATAGTACTTAAGATTATGTCAAAATCTATTTTTTACAATACATGGCTCTTCAGCTTCTTGCTAGTTCCATGGCCTTGTTGCTGGAATTTAGTCTATTTTGGGCAGCCCAATAACTATTTCAGAAATTCCTAATAAATCCTAGAGGCCCACTTAGCCCATTTGTGCAAGTCAAGGGATACTACTAAATTAGTTTAGTCCCACATTGCTAGTTTAGTGGGAGTTGGACCTCCTTATAAGGAAGGTTCTTTCCCCACTTGTACGAGTATGAGAACAAGAGGGATATCCACGCCCGCAGCGGGTTGCGGGAATGAGCCGAGCCGATATCTAAATTTTTTGCCATGCACTACGGGTATACGAAAGGTCACACGGAAAGTGGAGTTCGAATGCGAACGGTGCAGCCGACTGGCTGTTCGTTTCGCCTCCCGTCGCTGCCCTCTCGCCTCCTTCTCTTGCGCCTATTAAAGGGAGGTCGCTCCTCCCAGAGAGACGCACCAGAACTATTCCTTCCCTCATCATCGGTTCCATCTCTGAGCTGCTGTTGTCTTCCTCATCCCGGCTTGCGGCGTGCACCGCATGTCGGGACAGTAGGCCTCCGAGACCGCACCTTTCGAGTCCTATACGGGAGAAGGGTGATAAGGTTTTTGGGGAGCGCTCTGCGTGACTACTGGCTTCTTCATCACGGACTCCGACGACTACTTCCCCGACGACGACTTCTTCCCCAATGTCGACTACCTCAGCAACGACATGGCTGGAGAGGATGTCGACCCCAAGTCCAGCGCTTCTGCTGCTGCTGTCCCGTATGTGTTCTTCTTCTTTCTGTCAGATGTCCCGCCACAGTTTCTCGTACTAGTACTTGCCCTACATGTGTTAGTTTTTACTCCATATATGCAACATGATCTAGTGTCTGTCCTAGATGTGTTTAGTTCAAGTTCATATATGCTAATGCTATTTACTTTTTCTCCGTCGGGTTGCATGACTTGCTTTATCATGACTATATTAATCATGCTTTATCTAATATTTCTGTTAATAAAATTATTTGGTAAATTGCTCATATTTTCCAACAATCCAAAAACCTTATTATAGGCAATTTACCCCAAGTGGTTTTGCTGCTTCCATGAGACCTCCTATGTTTGAGGGTATCCACTATAAGAGGTGGCCCGTGAGAGCAGTCTTATGGTTTCAAACCATGAGTTGCTACGACGCCACTCTTGGCAAACCTGAAGGAGAGCTTGATGCTCAACAGGCACAAGCTTTTCAGAAAATGGATACTCTGTTTAAGGCTGCTCCCTTGAGTGTTCTTAGTGAGAACATAGTTGATGCTTATGCGTCAATTGATAATGGAAAAGATATGTGGGATGCACTCGAGGCCAAGTTTGGGGTCTCGGATGCTGGCACTGAGCTGTACATCATGGAGCAATTTTATGATTACAGGATGACTGAAGAGCGCTCGTGGTTGAGCAAGCTCATGAGATACGGTCATTTGCTAGAGAACTTGAGCACTTCAGTTGTATGCTACCGGACAAGTTTGTTGCCGGAGGTATCATCACTAAGCTTCCTCCTTTGTGGAGGAACTTTGCTACCTTGCTGAAGCATAAGAGGTAGGAGTTTTCCGTCCCGGATCTCATTGGTACTCTTGATGTGGAAGAAAAGGCGAGAGCAAAGGACACACATGCTCGAGGTATTGAGGGAGGATCTAGTGCCAATCTGGTACAGAAGAAGAACTTCCAGTCCCACCAGTTCAAGAACAAGGGCAAGTTTGATGATAAAGCAAAGTTTGATAGGAAGAACAAGGTTGTGCAACACGCGAACTTCAAGAAGAATGACAAGAAGAAAGGTGATTGTCATGTGTGTGGGGATCTTGATCGTTGGGCTCCTAGTTGCCCTAATCGCTATGACAAGCGTCATCCTGGGAAAGGCGGCAAGACCGCTAATGTTGTCATTGGAGACACTGACATGAAGGATGCTGGGTATGGTATATTTCCCACTATTCTTTCAGTATGTCATTCTCCTGATTGGTTGATCGACATGGGTGCTAATGTGCATGTATGCGGTGATATTTCCATGTTTTCGTCTTACAGACCGCAGGGACTTCAACCGTGCTGATGGGCAACGGTTCAAGTGCTTATATTCGTGGTGTTAGCATGTTCGATCTGAAATTTACTTCGGGGAAGATCGTGCGGCTGAAGAACATGCATTATTTCCCCTCCGTCAATAAAAATCTTGTTAGCGGATCTCTTCTGTGTAGAGATGGCTACAAGCTTGTCTTTGAGTCGAATAAATTTGTAATATCCAAGTATGGAACCTTTGTTGGTAAAGGCTATGAGTCAGGAGGTCTGTTTCGCTTATCCTTATCAGACGTTTGCAATAAAGTTGTCAATCATATTTGCAACAATAGTGAATCCAATGTGTGGCATTCACGTCTTTGTCATGTTAACTTTGGTTGCATGTCGCGACTAGCGAAGTTGAACCTAATCCCTAGTTTCACCACTGTCAAGGGATCTAAGTGTCAAGTGTGTGTGCAAGCTAAGTGTCGGTGTCAAAACCGACGGATCTCGGATAGGGGGTCCCGAACTGTGCGTCTAAGGCGGATGGTAACAGGAGGCAGGGGACACGATGTTTTACCCAGGTTCGGGCCCTCTTGATGGAGGTAAAACCCTACGTCCTGCTTGATTTATTCTTGATGATATGAGTATTACAAGAGTTGATCTACCACGAGATTGGAGAGGCTAAACCCAAGAAGCTAGCCTATGGTATGATTGTATGTTGTCCTACGGACTAAAACCCTCCGGTTTATATAGACACCGGAGGGGGCTAGGGTTACACAAGGTTGGTTACAAAGGAGGAGATATACATATCCGTATTACCTAGCTTGCCTTCCACGTCAAGTAGAGTCTCACCCGGACACGGGACGAAGTCTTCAATCTTGTATCTTCATAATCCAACAGTCCGGCCGAAGGATATAATCCGGCTATCCGGATACCCCCTAATCCAGGACTCCCTCAGTAGCCCCGAACCAGGCTTCAATGACGATGAGTCCGGCGCAGTGTTGTCTTCGGCATTGCAAGGCGGGTTCTTCTCCAAATTTTGAATGTTCGTAAGCAGTGTCTGGCCTCATAAATGTTGAACCTCTTGGCTTCTATGCCCAATAAGGGCTATCTCCCACGCGTCGAAGGAATACGAGGCGCTAGGGCATTTTTACATTTGCCCCCCTAGCCAGATAAATAAATTGTCTATTAAAGGGATGGAGATTCTTGTTGGGGAACGTAGTAATTTCAAAAAAATTCCTACGCACACGCAAGATCATGGTGATGCATAGCAACGAGAGGGGAGAGTGTTGTCTACGTACCCTCATAGACCGAAGCGGAAGCGTTGACGCAACGTAGAGGAAGTAGTCATACGTCTTCCCGGTCCAACCGATCCAAGCACCGTTACTCCGGCACCTCCGAGTTCTTGACACACGTACAGCTCGATGACGCACCCCGGGCTTCAATCCAGCAAAGCTTCGGGGGGGAGTTTCGCTGACGGCATGGTGACGATCTTGATGTTCAACCGTCGCAGGGCTTCGCCTAAGCACTGCTACAATATGACCGAGGTGGAATATGGTGGAGGGGGGCACCGCACACGGCTAAGGAACGATCACGAAGATCAACTTGTGTGTTCTAGGGTGCCCCCCTGCCCCCGTATATAAAGGAGCAAGGGGGAGGCCGGCCGGCCCTTGGGTGCGCCAAGGAGAGGGGGGAGTCCTCCTCCTAGTGGGAGTAGGACTCCCCTTTCCTAGTCCAACTAGGAATAGGGAGGGGGAAGGAAAGAGAGGGAGAGGGAGAGGGAAAGGGGGGCCGCGCCCCCCCTCCTAGTCCTATTCGGACTCCCCATGAGGGGGGCGCGCCACCTCCTGGGCTGCTGCCCTCTCTCTCC